GTATGTTTGGTCATATTGCTACTAAATGTTATCGCCTTCATCCACATCTAAAACAGGGAAATGTTCGTTCTTCTAAAGTTGGGGATTCCAATGAACAAAATGGAGAATAGGGTCAAAGCTCATCCTAATGTTGAGAATATGAAGAGTTAGATGCTAATCAATCAGAAGAAGTGAACAATGACCAGGCCACTCCTATTGTTGAGGTTTTGGTTAAAACTATAGTTGATAATACTGATACTATGATTTTATTCCCCCCATGCAGGTTAGCTTGATGGAGGTTCATACTTCTCTCCCCCATCTCCCATTCATTTGGAGGTGGAAAATGCTCAGGATATTCAGGAATCTCGGGTGCATGTGGTAAATGATGGAGCCAACTTGGCTGCTTCTAATGCCCTTGAAGAGGAATGGTTAGTTCAAAAAGCCAGTAAAAAGAAAATGAAAAGAAAAAATGAGATTTTACATCTAAATAATAAGGACAATATCATTACTGATGGGAAGTCTCATTCTAATGGAAAACAGTTCACCACCCTTAATAGGTCTTCTAGAAGGGGTGTGTTGAGGTTTAATGATTAACATAATGATCTGGAATATTAGGGGAATTAATAGACTTAAGCATTTAAGCAGGATCCACAATCTGGCTATTTTTGCTCTTTTAGAGCCGCTAGTCTCACTTAATAAGGAACACATCTTCAGACAGTTTAAGCAGTACAATCATTTCTGCAACACTAATAATAAGATTTGGATCTTTTGGAAGCATAACATTGAACTAAACAATGTGCAAAATGAGTAGCAATTGGTTTTGGTTTATTTTAAAATGGATTCTTTCGTCTCCTAGGCCACCTTTGTTTATGCTAGTATTGTTCTTCAGAAGAAATATTATCTTTGGGATACTCTGGCTGTTATGGGTGAGAATATTAATGATTATTGGTTTGCTAGAGGGGATTTTAATATGATTATGAATTCTACTGAAAAGAGAGGTTGTAAAGGTGGTGACCTCAATCTTATTACTCAATTTAATGATAAAATTTCTGAAGCGGGCCTTTTTTATCTTGGTTTCATGGGTAATCCTTTCACTTGGAGGAGGGGCTCTCTTTTCCATCGTTTGGATCGCTTCTTTGGTAATCAACATTTTCTCAATTATTTTCATGTTTCTAAAGTGCTTCATCTTAATCATGTGAGATCGGATCATAATCCCATTATGCTATCTCTTGCTTTTACTACCAAACCCGCTCATTATCATTTTAAATTTCTTAATATATAGACTACTCATGATACTTTCCTGAGCACTGTGAAGCAGACCTGTCACACTAATGGTGTTGGTAACCCCTGATATGTCCTTTGGAACCTACAAAAACAGGTAGTTGCTGGTTTAAAAAAGTGGAATTTTCTTTCATTTGGTAATATTCATAATAGGGTCAAGAAAGCTCAGAAGGTTGCGGATATCCTCGAAGCACATGTTATATATAATCCGCAACAAGTCATTGATCTGGCCCAAGCTCATACCAATCTGCTCGAAGAGATTAATTTGGAAGAAGATTTTTTACAGCAAAAAGTTAATGACATAAATTTTACTAGCAGTGATCATAACACTAAATTTTTTCATGCTTCTATCAAGCATAGAAGGAGTTTAAATACTATTTTAAGTATAAAAACTACGGATGGGAGGTGTCTCACTGACAAGGTTGAGATTGGTAATAATGCTGTGAAGTATTTTACTAATTTGTTTCAAGCTTCCTCTCAGGTTCTCCCTATTGTTTCTAAATTTTTTGAAGGTGAAAGGGAGTATACCTCTAAAATAGATATCTCTTACATTCCCACGGAACAAGAGATTTTTTCTGTGTTTAAGGAGATCAATACAAACAAGTCTCCTAGGTCTGATGGTTTCACTGCTACTTTCTATGTATCTAGTTTTGAGATTATTAAAAAAGAGGTGACTCAAGCTATTCAAAGTTTTTTTTTTCAGGGAGAAGACCCTGGGAAATATTTCACTTCTTCTCTTATTGTGCTTATTCCTAAGGGTAACGAAAAATCTAGATGGGATAAATTCAGACTCATTTCCCTCACTTCTGTGATCTCCAAAGTAATTAGCAAACTGCTTGTCAAACCTGCTTGTCACTAGGTTACAACCTATGCTTAGTAATATTATCTCTCTACAGCAATCTGCTTTCATAAAAGGGCGGGATATAAATGACAACATTCTTCTAGCGCAGGAGATTCTTGAAAAGCTGGATAAAAAATATCGTGGGGGAAATATGATTCTCAAACTTGATATTAAAAAAACTTATGATACTATCAGTTGGGATTTCATATTAAATATCCTGCGGGCCAGAGGTTTTCATAATAATTTTTGCACCCCCATTCGTAGGTGGTTGGTGAATAATCATTATTTTGTTCTTGTCAATGGTGACTCTTATGATTTCTTCTCTGCTACTAGGGGTATTAAGCAGGGTGATCATTTATCCCCAACTATTTTATTCTGGCTTTTGATTATTTCTCCAGGTTCATTAATCATTTGCAGTTGAATAAACCTTATACTCAGTTCTCTCAAAAATCTTCGATTTTGGTTAGCCATTTGGCGTATACTGATGATGACATTATATTCAATAATGCAAGTAAATCTGCTATTAAAGCTCTTATGCAAGTACTGGATACTTTTCAAGATAATTCTGGTCTTTTTTTCAGTAAAGATAAGAGCAATATTTATTTTGGGAAATCTGTTAAAAGCTTTATTGTGAATTGGAGTACTAATTACACAAGATTTCAGGCTGCCTCTTTGCCCCTAAAGTATTTGGGAGTTAATTTGCTTAGGGGTTGTTGTAAGCAAATACAATTAAATGATGTCGTGGATAAGATCAAGCATAAAATTAATGATTGGAGGAACAATTTTCTATCTAATGGGGGTCGCATCACCCTCCTCAGAAATGTGTTGCTGATTATCTCATTATACGCTCTTCAAACTATGAATCTTAAGAAAAGTACTCAGATCCAGTTGGAGAGATTATTTAATAGATTTTTGTGGTTGGGTACCCAATCTAGAAAGCATTGGGCCACCTTCTCTAAAGCTTCCAAGCCTATTTCAGCGGGGGGTCTTGACTTTAAAAGTTTGAAGCAAATTTCTGCTATCAGTATGTGTAAAGTGTGGTTTAAATTTCGTGCTAATACTTTGTTATGGGATAGCTTTTTTCATCAAAAATATTGTGTTATTTCTAATTCGGCTATCGTTCAATAGAAAGTGGGGGATTCTAAGATTTGGAAAGCTATTTTGAAAGCTAGAGAGGTAGCGAACAAATTCATTTTTTGGGATGTAGGTGAAGGAAATATTTCATTTTGGCATGATGATTGGGGATTGGGGGATAGGGATTTATCTATTCTCACTCCGCAAAACAATAAGATGATTATTTCTGATGTCTGGTTGGACAGGAATTGGGATGTTAATAAATTAATGTCTCTAGTAAGGGATAAAACTGCTCTAATCACTAAGATCCCTATAAAGAAGAACGTGAAAGACACCCCTATTTGGAAAACTACCTCTAATATTTCTCCATCTAAATTTCTTTTTTCAAAACTTTATAGTCATGATAAGTGGAGGTGGGGGAATATCATTTGGAATACTTTTCTTACTCCCTCCATCTCTTTTTTTCTATGAAGTTTTTTTCTTAACATGCTTGTTCTTGATGATATCCTTAAACTTAAAGGGTTGAAATTTGCTTCGCAATGTCATTTATGCAAAATTGAAGAGGAATCCACGGTGCATCTTTTTTTCCATTGTTCTTATGCTAAAGAGATTTGGAATGTGTTGGGAAAACATTTTCATATATATTGCTTTGATTGTGATGATATTAAAAGCTACCTTCTTAAGTGGACTGCAGATAGGATGGACTCTAAATTGGATAGTTTCCCTTCGTTGGTGATTTGGTTTATTTGGGTGGCAAGAAATGATCATAAGTATCAAATTTTGGGACCGGGTCCTACTACTATGGTTTCTTACATTCTTGCTTATTTATTATGGGCTTGCAGTATTTTGGGATTGAATGATGATTTACACCAATCTAGGGTGGGTAAGATGGCACACTCTTATTAAGTGGCAACCCCCTCCCATGGGGTGGATCAAAGTGAATATTGATGGAAGCTGGGCTTCCAAGGCGACTGGAGCTGGTGAAGTTTTTAGAGATCACTTTGGGAATTGGCGGTGTTTCTTTGCTTCTCCGATTGTTGTCTCCTCCCCTTTTGAGGCCGAATACTGGGCTTTTTTACTGTCTTTACAGGTGACTATCTCTTTTAATTTCTCAAATCTAATTATTGAGACTGATTCTATAAATCTCTATAAGAATTTTGATATGAATTCCATACCCAAGTGGAATGTTGTGGGTATTTGGAATAGAATCAGAGAGCAAGTTGATCAGTTCAATCTTCCTATTCAGTTGTCTCATATTCTGCGGGAAGGCAACTCCCCGGCGGATTGGTTGGCTGGGAGAGGTAAAATGGAGGAACATATATTTGTTGGTGTTTCATCAAAGTCTCAGCTAAAATGTCTACTGTTGGGAGACTCTATGGAGTTGCCTTTCATTAGACAATGATTTTGTTCTCAAGTTTGGCTTTGTTACATCTCATGATTGGTTTAGAGAAGTTGATGGTTTGGTTTATGATGTCGGCAGTTTCCTGTTGTAATTGTGATGGATAATTAATTATGAGAACTTGCACCTATAGAAAGTTTCAAACTAAAAATATAAATTATTTATAAATCTCTAGAAAAGGTTATATTTCCTAACTTATCCTTTAGAAAATCAACTTACGTACCAACTCACGAATACAATAGAGTGGGTTGGGAGCTTTTTCAGAGCTCAGAATACCTTGACCCAGATCATAGGAATAATTGCCAAGTCAAATTGACTAAAAGAAAGAGGTCAATGATTTTCCATCTGTTTAATGAGGAAAGCAGTCCATGAGACAATTAAAAGAAAAAAGTTACAAACGCCAAAAGAAAAGCCTGAGGTCAAAACCTGTTTGGGAAATTCTAGCCCAGCATCTCGAAATGCCTTTTGCACTTCTAACAAACCATTTCGAGTTTCAGGAGTGCCTCCACTCTGGATGCAAAATCAATTGAAAAAACGTAATTTAATTAAGTTTCAAATTTATAAGAAAGAATTTGAAGATGATGCGCAACAATTTATACCTTTGATGTTACAATTACAAGAGTAGATGCTAATTCTGGTCCAAGCTGTGCAATTTGACGATCAATTCCAGCCGGATCTGTATTGTCAATAAACCTTATCTGTTGCAGTGACAAAATGAAGGGGCGGTGACAAAATAGCACATTAGCATTTTACATAAAAAATTAGATAATATTGGCGTGCATTATGCATGAAATTCTACATCTAAGCTCATAATTTTTCAAAGCATCAGGGAACAAAAAATATACGCGTGATTACATATCAGCTTTGAAAAGATGGTAAAAGTACACATAAGTGCCAATCACTAACTAAACTCTCTTAAATATTACTTTGAAGGAAAAACTTGTTATGCAGAACAACGAAACAACTGCAAAAGGAAATGCAATGTCTTCAGTGATATTAACAAAAATAAAAATGAAAACTGAAAAGGTAGTAAAAATGGGCAATGCAAACATCAAAATTTTCATCAAATTGAGTAAAAATGATCTTTCTACCCTGCCTCACCTCAGGTGATGTATTCAAGAAGAAGATGGCACAAAAGTTTTTTTTCACCACATACAAAGAAATTTTTATCTTGCTTTTCAGTGTGCAGCACTTCTCTCTGTCCACCAGTTAATGGAAGTTTAAGTTATCAAAGAATGCTTCGTATAGTTGATTATAAATATCCATATAGTTCTAGAAAGCTTAAGCCAATAGCTTAGAGGATCATCTCTAGAAAAATTTGCATAGATTGTCAAATTATTAGAACTAGGAAATATGGAAACAAATCTAACCAGTAAGAAACAGGGATTAACAAAAACAGATTTCACCTTCAGAAGTGGATTATCAGGGGCTAGTGCTTCAGCAACAAACTGAGGACCAAGTGCAGAACCTCCGATACCAATAGAGAGAACTTGGGTAAAACGCCCATGGGGAGATGATGGGGGCTTCATCTGGTTTTTATTGAAAAGGTCAGAGGAACAAAAACCACTCTAAGAAAAACATTCTAAATTCCAACAATATTACAGAGATAAGTTTTGCAGCAACACAATCTTGCTACTTCAAATATCGATATCACATAATTAAGTGGAAAAGTAAACACGTTCAATGAGTTAACTCTGATGTCGCACACAAATGAAATAATTAAAAAGCATATTCATAAAGTACTCAACAGAAATTTGGACAAAACTCGAATTCAAAGCGGAACAAGGCTCTGGCCAATGTGGAACATGGGAAGAGTCAATGAGTGCAGGCTTAATAAAGCATGGCAATTTCTGTGAATTGACAATGGAGGCAATCTAATAGTTATTTAAGGCCTGCCCTCAAAATACCAAAGGATTAGCTGAAGTAATAGCAAAGTCAATATGGTTACTTACCCTTTATGATAAATAGCAATTGAAACTCAAATTCATCAAAAGATTATCTGACCACCTAAGTCAATATCATAGTCAGTCAAATCTTTTACTTTATCGAACATACTCATAAATTGAGTCAAAGGAGAAAAATTACAAGAAATGACTTCAAATAGTGTGCAAGAACAGTAATATCATGTTGAAGTGGACTAAACATTTGATGCTTGAACCAGTTTCTTTAGTCATACTACATTATGGACATCCATATAATATCTGTCAAGTGAAACCTACAAGAAATTTTGATGCGGAGAATCGACCATATTGAGGCTTATGAATTTCTCATGCAATCTGTCCACGATCTTCTTGCAGTAGCATTTGCAATATTTGCATTGAGCTCTACAGATTTTCCTTCCCCTGTTAGTTCTTACTCAAGATATTCCATAACTTCGATATGCGGCCACCATCGAACTCAAGTTGAATTCCTTCCTCCATTATTAGAGTTTATTGTTGTGACCGAAGGAAATGGGAATTCCAAAGTTTTTAAAAATATAAATAGGGGTCTTAGGTTTGTATAAGAAGTATCAATTGATAGTTGAATAAAATTCTAATTAGATGTGTTATTTCTTCTACTTCTAAGAGTCAACTCTTTGATCAAGAGACTTTTAAGGTTTTAGAGAGGAGTTATCTCCTCATACATAACTGTGCTTAATTTTGACGGATTATTTTCCCGGTTCTAAATTTAATTATTATTTCAAATGTATAATTGACTTTAATCAAATTCAATACAATCTAGTTTCAACAAGTAGGTTTCAAAGAATTTCAATAGCTTTCTTAGTAGAGGGTCATCAAATTTTTATCTAAATAAATTTATTTCATATTCTTAGTTTTGGTTGAATAGTTACTGACGGAATTTTGTGAAGCTCATAGCATAATTTTTCCACATCTCATATAGGATGTGTTAAAGCCCTAGACTATAAGATGTCTTTCAATAGAGTCAATATCAAAGCTTAACATTACAACACAATATCCTATATGTGGGATATAATATTTGGGTTAGTAAATAAAATAAAAATAAATAATTAAAAAGAAAGTATAAAAATGATTCTAAACAACTTTAACATAGAAATCATGATTTTAAGAATTAAACTCCTACATTGATGAGAAGGATGTTGCTTTGGTATTTTAAATTGGATGGATAAGTTAGAAGAATACTTTGAAATATATTAAAAAATAAAGTTTAAAAAGAATTGACTCTACTTAAACAAGGTTAATAAATTGGTTTTTTTCCCAATTAAGGATTAAATTTGTTTCTTCACAGCGCTTAAGAACTTTTGATAAATGTTCTAAACATGATTCAAATGAAGTTCCAAATACTGAAAAATCATCCATAAAAACTTTAAATCCTTTTTTAATAAAATCACAGCAAATAGACATCATACATCTTTGAAATGTAGTAGGAGCATTATATGAACATTCTTCTAAAAGCAAATATATCATAGGGACTGGTAAAGTTGTTTTCTCTTGATCATTGATCCTCATGAGCTATTTGTATTTGGTGATAATCAATATATCCTTCCAGAAAATAAAAGTATTCATGCCCAGCTAGCCTATCCAACATTTGATCTAGAAAGGGTAGTGAAAAATGATATTTCCTAGTGACGAGATTTAATTTTCTATAATCAATGCATATTCTCTACCTATGACTTGTCTTGCTGGTATTAACTCAATATAGTCATTCATAGTCACAGTCACTCCTCATTTCTTAGGAACGCAATGAATTGGACTAACTCATGCACTATCTGAAATAGGGTAAATAATTCTAACATATAATCACTTTAAAATTTCTTTTTTAACAACTTCTTCATAACAAGATTCAATCCCCTTTGAGGATCAGCCCTGGATTGCAGTTCTTCCATATAAATTCTATGCATATAAATTGAATGGTTGATTCATTTAATATAAGCAGCTTTCTTATAATTCTTCATAGTTTTCATTAAACTTTATTGTATAGTTAATTTTGAGGAAATTATAACGGGTTGAGGAATCACCTAAAAAGATATTTTAAATATTCATGAGGTTTTTCAATCGGATGGACAAAAAGATTTATCTTTTTCTGTTGTGTCCAAAACTTCAAAACTTTCTCGAACATAATTCAAATTTTCATTATAAAAATCTTCAAATTGATCTAATTCCTCTTATTGCTCGTGTTCCGACTCTTTCATTTCAGATTTCTCTTCACAAGTTGTTTTGAAATGACATTCACTCAAATGACATTCACTCAGATATCTCAGATATCTTATTATATCCATTCTGTAACATTCATCATCTTTATTTTTTGCAGGATACTTCATTGGTTCAGAAATATTAAAAGTAAATGTGTGATTATTAACGTGCATAGTTAATTTCTATTTCTGCACATTTAACATTACTCTTCCTGTAGCTAAGAAAGGTCTCCCCAAACTAATAGACATCTCCTTATCTTCCTTCATATCTAGCACAATGAAATCAACAGGAAAGATAAATTGATTTTTTCACTAAAACAACTTCTATAACTCCCTTAGGATATGTTATTGAACGATCTGCTAACTGCAGAGTTACAGTAGTAGGAGATATTTCTCTTAATCCCAATGTTTTAAATATTGATAATGACATAAGTTTAATACTTGCACCTAATCACATAATGATTTCACATAAAATCTATCTCCTATTGCACATGGAATTGTGAAGCTACCCAATTTTTTAAGTTTTTCATGAAGCTTTTTCTGAATTATAGCACTGCACTTTTCACTAAGTGCAACAATCTTGTTATTTTCGAACTTCCTTTTCCTATTAAGAATATCTTTCATAAACTTCATATAGCTTGACATTTGTTATACGACATCAGCAAATGGAATATTAATTGTAAGCTTTGGAATATTAATTGAGCAAATGGAATATTAATTGTAAGCTTCTTAAAGATTTTCAGAAATTTTGAAAATTATTTATCCAACTTTTGTTGACAAAGTCTCTGAGAAAATGGAGGTGGAGATTTTTCCCAGTCAATTTTAAGTGGAGAAATAGGTTTCTCTAAACCTTTCGGAGCGTCCTCTTCAGGCTCTTCAATTTCTTCTCTCTCTACTTCAATCTTTTTTTGAACTCTATCTTTCAACTCCCTTCTGCTTCTAAGTTGAACGGCTTTTACTTGTTCTTTATTCTGGTCTTTTGGATTTACTCTGTATTACTAAGAAGTGTTCCTTGGGATCTATTAATTAATGAATTTACTATTTGTCCTAATTGATTTTCAATATTTCTAATTGTAGCTTCTTGACTTCGTAACTGATTTCTCGTTTGTATCACTACTTCTATAGACAGTTTTTTCTCCTTGAATTGTGGATTACTGTTAAAGCTTGGAGGATAAGTAGGTCTATAATTACCATTACATTGGTTGTTTCAGTTTTCCAATGAGTTTAATTGGTGGTTCCTCCATTGCTGATTATTACCACCCGAAGTATAGTTTCAGTTAAAATTAGGATGGTTCTTCCAACCTAGGTTATAATAGTTTGAATATGGGTTATTTTGTTTGTTTTTTATGACAGTCAAAGTTTCTAATGATGCTTGAAAATCTACCATTTGGTCTAATAAATTCTCTTCAATCATTACAATTGACTGAGAAAAATTCATTCCAAATTGGTCTAACTTCTTTGAAATTATGGCAACTTGATTTGTTAATATTGCAAAAACATCAAATTCATGAATATTGGCTACTTTCTTGTGATTTACCCTCTCAAAATGCCATTGAAAATTATTAGTAGTCATCTCTTTAATTAAAGCATAAGCGTCATGAAATGATTTTGACATCAATGAACCACCAGTAGCGGCATCAATAATAGATCTAAGAGATCTAGCTAATTCATTGTAAAAAATTTGAATTATTAACCAATCTGGTATAGCATGGTGTGGACACTTTCTCAGTAGTTCTTTAATCGTACTCATGCTTCATAAATAGATTCCCCTTCAAACTGACAAAAAAAATACAATATCATTTCTACATTTTGCAGATTTTTTATGTTGAAAAATATTTAGCAAAGAATTTCTATGCTAAACCACCCCAAGTACTGATAGTGCTAACGAATGTGACCGTACCTTAGTCTTATCCCTCAGTGAGAAAGGAAAAAATCTAAGTCTTAGAGCATCATCTGAGACACCATCATATTTAAATATAGCATACATTTTAGAAAATTGACAAGATATAAATTTGAATCTTCAGTTGGTGCTCCCCAAATCTGATTGTTTGATATCGTTTGGATAATAACAAATTTAAGTTAAAATGAATTGGTCACTACAGTAAGTTTTTGAATACTACAATGAAGTTCATCCATTATAGGGTTGGCATAATCTCTTAAAGATCTAAACTCTTGATTAATTTTAACATTTTGATTATTTTGGTTTCTTATTTCTTTAAATTTTTGGTCATTTCCTATATTTTTTATTTTTTTTATTTTTCTAGTGGTTCTTTCCAATTCATATAGTTCTTTCTAATTCAGAATCGAAATGCACAAGTTCTGTAGAAACTGAACTACGCATACATTACTACAAAACAACATAAAATAAAATCACACAAA